ACCCACATTCCATGGCTCGTTGGTCTAGGGGTATGATTCTCGCTTAGGGTGCGAGAGGTCCCGGGTTCAAATCCTGGACGAGCCCAGCTTTCATTATGGTTCAACACCTAAATTTTCCAACCTTGTTGCATCTGTAGTTTTGTTTCCACTTTGCACACCAAATAAAACCCACATTCCATGGCTCGTTGGTCTAGGGGTATGATTCTCGCTTAGGGTGCGAGAGGTCCCGGGTTCAAATCCCGGAGGAGCCCAGCTTTCTCATGGTTCAACAAATAAATTTTCCACCCTTGTTGCATCTGTAGTTTTGTTTCCATTTGGCACACCAAATAAAACCCAGGTTCCATGGCTCGTTGGTCTAGGGGTATGATTCTCGCTTTGGGTGCGAGAGGTCCCGGGTTCAAATCCCGGACGAGCCCAGCTTTCATTATGGTTCAACACCTATGTTTTCCATTTGTTTTGCATCTGTAGTTTTGTTTCCATTTGCACACCAAATAAAACCCAGACCATGGCTCTCACATATACACACCATTAAAGAAAACTCTTATTCCATGGCGTATGATTCTTGCTTTGGGTGCGAGAGGTCCGGGTTCAAATCCTGGACGAGCCCAGCTTTAATTATGGTTCAACAACTAAATTTTCCAACCTTGTTGCATCTGTAGTTTTGTTTCCATTTGGCACACCAAATAAAACCCAATTTCCATGGCTCGTTGGTCTAGGGGTATGATTCTTCGCTTTGGGTGCGAGAGGTCCCGGGTTCAAATCCTGGACAACCCAGCTTTCATTATGGTTCAACACCTAATTTTCCATCGTTTTGCATCTGTAGTTTTTTCCAGATTGCACACCAACAAAACCCCACACCATGGCATGATTCTTGCTTTGGGTGCGAGAGGTCCGGGTTCAAATCCTGGATGAGCCCAGCTTTTTGTTCAACAATAAATTTTCCACCTTGTTGCATCTGTAGTTTTCTTTCCACTTTGCACACCAAATAAAACCCAATTCCATGGCTCGTTGGTCTAGGGGTATGATTCTCGCTTAGGGTGCGAGAGGTCCTGGGTTCAAATCCTGGACGAGCCCAGCTTTAATTATGGTTCAACACCTATATTTTCCATGTGTTTTGCATCTGTAGTTTTGTTTCCATTTGCACACCAAATAAAACCCAACATTCCATGGCTCGTTGGTCTAGGGGTATGATTCTCGCTTTGGGTGCGAGAGGTCCCGGGTTCAAATCCTGGATGAGCCCAGCTTTAATTAAGGTTCAACACCTAAATTTTCCACCCTTGTTGCATCTGTAGTTTTCTTTCCACTTTGCACACCAAATAAAACCCACATTCCATGGCTCGTTGGTCTAGGGGTATGATTCTCGCTTTGGGTGCGAGAGGTCCCGGGTTCAAATCCCGGACGAGCCCAGCTTTTCATTTTGGTTCAACACCTATGTTTTCCATGTGTTTTGCATCTGTAGTTTTGGTTCCACATTGCACACCAAACAAAACCCAAGCACCATGGCTAGTAGTATGATTCTTGCTTTGGGTGCGAGAGGTCCCGGGTTCAAATCCTGGACGAGCCCAGCTTTTATTATGGTTCAACACCTAAATTTTCCACCTTGTTGCATCTGTAGTTTTGTTTCCACTTTGCACACCAAATAAAACCAATTTCCATGGCTTGTTGGTCTAGGGGTATGATTCTCGCTTAGGGTGCGAGAGGTCCCGGGTTTAAATCCCGGATGAGCCCAGCTTTTTATGGTTCAACACCTATATTTTCCATGTGCTTTGCATCTGTAGTTTTGTTTCCATTTGCACACCAAATAAAACCCACATTCCATGGCTCGTTGGTCTAGGGGTATGATTCTCGCTTAGGGTGCGAGAGGTCCCGGGTTCAAATCCCGGACGAGCCCAGCTTTCATTATGGTTCAACATCTAAATTTTCCACCCTTTTTGCATCTGTAGTTTTGTTTCCATTTGGCACACCAAATAAAACCCACATTCCATGGCTCGTTGGTTTAGGGGTATGATTCTCGCTTTGGGTGCGAGAGGTCCGGGTTCAAATCCCGGATGAGCCCAGCTTTCATTATGGTTCAACAACTAAATTTTCCACGCTTGTTGCATCTGTAGTTTTGTTTCCACTTTGCACACCAAATAAATCCGGTTCAATGGCTCGTTGGTCTAGGGGTATGATTCTCGCTTAGGGTGCGAGAGGTCCTGGGTTCAAATCCCGGATGAGCCCAGCTTTCATTATGGTTCAACAACTAATTTTCCACCTTGTTGCATCTGTAGTTTTGTTTCCACTTTGGCACACCAAATAAAACCCACATTCCATGGCTTGTTGGTCTAGGGGTATGATTCTCGCTTAGGGTGCGAGAGGTCCCGGGTTCAAATCCCGGATGAGCCCAGCTTTCCTCATGGTTCAACAAATACATTTTCCACCCTTGTTGCATCTGTAGTTTTGTTTCCATTTGGCACACCGAATGAAACCCACTTTCCATGGCTCGTTGGTTTAGGGGTAT